CTCTGGCTCAGGGTCCTGCCTGCCAGCTGTCCTTTGTCCCAGCCTGGGGAGCTGCTCTCTTAGGGCCTGTCCTGCTCCTCAGCGCTGTGTTAAGCAGGGCCACCTGCCCACTTCATTGGAGAGACCTGCCAAGGGCAAGTTGGCCCACAGGTGGTTTGGGCCCCCGGGATCTTATTTTTTGCTGTTATTTCCTCTGCCTAAAAATAGCATTTTCTATCTTTGGTACCTAGTTTAGAACAAAGCTATTTGCTGGCCAAAGATTAGGGCAACAGACTTCCTAACTCAGTGCATATTGAGTCTTGGGTTCCAGTGGCCTCTGGGAAGCAGGGACCCTGATTTAGCAAGAAGAGGTTCATTGGTAAAGTTAAAGTAAAATTTAATTTTAAAAGAAAAGGAGAAAATATATGTAGAGTGTCTTAGCCAGAAAGAAGTCTCTCAACATGAGTTGAAAAACCCCTCCTCCTGAGAGAAGTGTCCTGTTTCATTCATTGCTGCCCGGAGGCTCATTTTTTAATTGCCCCCAGCAACAGGCATTTCCTGCTAAAGAAGAGTGGTTCTGTCCTCTCTCAGGACTTTGCCTTTCCTCAGCTCTTCTGGTGGCCACGTGTGCTGACCCCACGGGGACTGGCTGAGGGGATGATGGGCGTTGGCTGGGCCCAGCTCCTCTCTGCACCTCTCGTGTCTTTATCAGCCACTGCCCTGATGCTTTCCATCTTGCTATGTTGGCTGGGCCCCTCTTGGTGACTCCGAAGCCATGGGGCCATGTGCAGGAGGGTGTAGATAGTGGGGTCTGGGATAGGCAATGTCCTCAGGTTTGCTCTGCAGAGGCTATGTGGCTTAGTGCCCAGGAGCTCGGGGTCTGGAGTCAGGAGGCCTGGGCTCCATTTCCAAGTTATGGAAACTCTGAGCAACTTTAATCTCTCCACGCCTCATGTACATGAAGACGATGTTAAGCACTCACCTTATGGAGTTACTGCCATTATAAGGATGAAATGAACCAGGCTAATGAATAGTGCTGGCATAGTGAGGTCAGTCACGGTCACATGTTAGCCGGCTCATTGCTTTCAGCCTAACAATAGTTACTTTACCACAGCCCATAGGAAATGCATATACACCCTGCTTCTTACAAGTGGAGAAAACCCAAGTGGCAACCTAAGATATATAGGTTCAACCTTGCTTGGTTCAAACGTCGTGCTAGTTGTGCTGCTTAGGGTGTCTCTTTCTCTCTAGAAGAGGCAGCTGTGGAAGGGCCAGAACCTATTTCTTCCTCCTCTAGCTGGTCATACCATATTGCTGACTGCAGGTCGGTGTGTCCAGAGAACCAGCCTCTGACCCAGCTCTACCTGCAAAAACCCTGGTATTTTGATACTTATCAAAGCATGTGTCTTTTTTTCTCAATTGGCTCTGGGTTGTGAAAAAAGGAGCAGTGTTATTAACTCTCTTAAATCCCTCGAAGTGGTATTTGTAAGACTGGAAATGGTTGCCTCAGAATCACACGATACTGTCTTAATCTCACACACTTTATCATGACTATGCACTCATAGAATATCGGGGCCAAAAGGAGCCAGAGATGTGCCTTAGGCCCAGTATATCCCTACAGATTTGCAAACTGTAGCATCTGCACCATAGGCTCTAGGATCAGGGAGGGAGTTGGGGCAGAGCGGTGAACATTAGCTCAAGCAAGAGACCCCGATTCTGGCCAACTTAGAAAGGAATGTATCAGGACACATGCTTTGTTAAGTATCGAAATACCAGGGTTTTTTGCAGGTAGAGCTGGATCAGAAGCTGGTTCTCTGGACACACCAACCTGTAGTCAGCAATATGGAATGACCAGCTTGAGGAGAGAGAAACGGGGGGCTGACTGGCGGTGAGGGGCAGAAAACATAGCACCACTGCGTGGCCAAACACCCTCCCTCTATAACTGCGGAGCTGGAACCACCTCCAGCTGGCCTTTTGTCCCTTGTGCAGATTGGCTGACATACGTTTGTTGTCTACTCCTGGCTGTCCTAAGCTCTGGCCCCCTCAGCTTCCTGCTTTCTGGTTCTCTGGCTGTGGGTACCTGGAATTATTCTCCCACCAAAACCACAAATGTAAGAGAAAGACAATTAAAAAAAAATGTCTTATTCAGGAGGGGAATGGCTGCTAGGTAGGCAGACATCACTGGCTGACTCTCGAGTGGGGTGGCTGGACTCCGTCACGGGAGCAGTTGGAGTGACGTGATGAGGAAGGAAGTGCTTGAGCAGTGTGGGAGGACAGAGCAGGGAGCCCCAGCTAGTCTGGTCAGGGAAGGCCTGCACAGGAGGGTGCCAGAGGATCGGGAGGCTGGGTGGTAGTAGCGGGAGCACTGGAGGGAAGAGGGTTCTAGACTCCTGTGAGATTGGAGATTAGATGGTGTGCAGCCTTCAGAGATGAGAGAAAGAGGGAGAGACTCATGCAGGGTCCCACAGAGAGGGATGGCAGGACTGGGCCAGAGCCCACGCTTCTGCTGCTGGCCCCATGGCCCTGTGCTGGCGGAAGGGGCTGGTTGCGGGGGTCAGGGGTTTGCTGAGCATGAGAGAAGTTCATTCTCAGGTTGTGGTTAAGAAAGAGCTGCCATGGCACAGGGGCCCCTGTTAGAAACGTTGACAGGGTCAGTGATTGACAAGACCATGGTTGTGGCCCTGATGCAGGAGGCTTGTGTGGAAGGAAAAGGTGAGAAAGAACTGAGAGAAGGTGAGCGACTAAGCAAATGGGAGGTGTCGGCAGTGAGTGAGTGCAGCAGTTGGAAGTGGCTAGTTTTTCTCTCTCTTAATGAAAATACAATGAAAACATTCATGTTTCTGAAAATGAGGCTGGACGACAAGGGAAAGGGCAGAGGGCTGTCAGCTCATCTCCATGCAGATGTGGTATTTGGAAAGTCCGGTACGTCAGAATGCTTTTGATCTGCCCACAGAGTACACTTCTCTGAGTGACACCCAGCAGAGGCCTCTTCAGTGGAAAATGTGAATTGGCACTTTCAGGGGGAGCTGGGACTTGCCACTGTGTCACATTGGGTGGACAAGGCGGCTCCTGCCCACCAAGGATCCTCACTCAGGCGGTGAGGGAAGGTTCTTGATGTCTCATTGCCTCGCCCCTAAGTTTCCCAGCATCGGGTACTCTCTGGGGTAGAAAAATATTTCTGGCAAGTTCAAGGGCACAGGCTCATACGAAACAGCCAGGCTCACGTGACTGTGAAGAGGTGCTTTGTGTGTGTGGTGTGGCAGAGGAAGGAAACAGCAGCATTTGCACTGGGCACAGAAGAGAATGTTTCATGGGCGAAGGGCCATCTGAGTTGGCTCTGGTAAGGGAGGAGAGCGTGTCCAAAGGGAAGGACGTGAGCAGGGGCACGGAGGCAGGAAGTATGATCAGTTTCCCAGCAGCCGAGGCCAAATACTTCACCATTTTGTCATGCCCACCTATTTATTATTACTAATTTTTTATCTAAATTGCTTTTTCAATACTTTACTTAAAATGGAAGACTAGGTCCCTGCTGTGAATTGCATATTAGCATCACTGTCCTGGACTTTGCCATTAGCTTTTCTGGGCTGCCACAGTCTGCTCCTTGTTAGAGCTCATGAGTCTGGCTTGTCACTGTCTCCTGTGCACGGCCATACCCTCCACTGTCATCATGTGATCCTTGTGTTTTATAAACTTTATTGACCTTTAATTATATGGGTAGCTTAGAAATACCTTCTCTGTAAGAAGTCAAACCCAGACACAGCTCAGGTGCCCTGCAGTGACTTCCTAGTGGCCGCCTTGGTCATCAGCTTTGTGGGTAACCCGCCAGGCCTTTTACCTGCAGTATTGTTTGATTGCTTCTATTATTGTTTTACACATAAATGGTATCATAGTGTCTGGTTTTTCCCAAGTGATTTTTCTACGATATGAATCTTTTGCGATTAATTATTTTAATAAGTGAAAATGGTAATACATAGTCTTGGTCTGAAAAGTTTTGCAGTACAAAAAGATAATTCCACGACACACAGCTGACCGTGCCCCTCTTTTGCTTTCAGTGCAGGGAGGCTCCCCACTGCCCGCTGGAGGAAGGCCACACTGTCCCCTGGCCACAGGGCCCTGTGTGGTCATCTGCCTCCTGCTGCCCACTGCACCTCCGCTGCCCTCCTTCCTTCCCTGAGCCCCTTCACTACTGGGCTCTGTGGGGGTCTCCTCCTCAGACTGATGGTCCTGACAGTGGCTTCTGGGCTGTGAGCCTGCTGCTCGCAGGAGCAGGCCAGTCAGTGGACAGGTCACTGCTAGGCTATTTTGGCTCACACCGGCTTTGCCTGGCCTGGTGTATGGCTGTGGGGACATTAGTTCACCTGTCTGTCTGCCTCTCAGCCTCTTCACCTGTGCTGGGAGGAGTGACTGATTACCGGATGGAAGGTGCTCGAGGCCGGGCCTCTCCTGGGGTGAGGGCTTGGGCCACTCTTCCCACCCTGGTTGTTGTTGTTGTTTACTGCTACACCCCCAGGACAAAGCCTAGGGCCTGGCATGTGTTAGGTAAATGGATGTCGAGCAAAGAGAGAAAGGAATAAAGATACAGCCAAGATGCATGAGGATGTGCAGGGACACAGGCTTCATGTGGGGATGCTGGGGCAGAGGCCGGGGAGCTGGGTGTGACGTTGCGTGCAGCGGGGGCGCCTTGCAGGCTCTGAGCACATGGAGTGATGCTGACTAGAGACTAGTCACTGGGCGGCAGGCAGGCTGGGGGACACAGGCAAAGACAGGAAGACCACACAGAAACCCCAGCAGTCCCAGATACCATCTCTGGGCCTTTCTGCTGCTTGTCTTCCAATACTCCAGGAAGAAAGAAGCCACATGGTCCTGGCATTCACCCAAAAGGGCTGCAGCATTTCCCTGCTTCTGGTGCTGCCGTCCTGTGTGTTCAGGTGTGGTGGAGTGATTGATGAGAATGATTAAAACAAGCTGCACTGTTTTGACGAGGCCCCCTCCACCCACTTTTTTTGCCTGTTTACTTCCAGGCAATGCTACCGTGGAGAAGTTGGAGGACTTCATCAACAATATCAACAGTGTCTTGGAGTCCTTGTATATTGAGATAAAGAAAGGAGTCACAGAAGATGACGGGAGACCCATTTACGCGCTGGTTAGTGCCAGACAGAGCCCTCTAGTGGCACTGTGTGGAGCTAGAGCAGAGTGCACAGTGGACACAGGCCTGTTGTGAAGAGCGCAAGAGCTCCCTGCCTGACAGGGCTCTGAGGTGGCGAGGTGGTGGGAGAAGGAAGCAGACCTGCTTGCACCCCCACCACCCCACGCTCACAGCAAGCCTCTGACACCTGGGTTAGCCTTTGGGTTATCAGAGTCGGGGTGCCCAGAACTGCAGCCGGGACCTCAGTGCTTTTGTCACTGCCCACATGGAGCCCCTGCTGTCCCCACCAGAGATGTGGCAGCTGGTGTTTGTGTTGGTTCAATTTTGCTTTTTGGCAGTTCTCTGCAAGGAAGTTACCCCAAATGTATGGACTGTTAGGAATAAATGGAGAAAATGTTTTTTTATTTGGTATAAGACATAGAAGGTATGAAAAGAAAAACTGTGGGGGTATTAAGGATCGAGACCCATTTTGGGCCTTCTGTTTTTTCCAGATGTACCCTCACAGTTGGGGAACAGGGTGCAATAAGGAGAGGGACACCAACAGGTCCCCATCCTTGGCTCGGGAACACTCAGGCTGTCAGAGGACATGGCCTGCTTCCAGCCAGGCCCTCACTCAGAAAGGAGCATTTTAGTCCAGGGTTTCCCAAACTCGATTCTGTGGAAAAAGTGTTACGTGTCAAATAACTGGAAAGGCCAGGCGAGACGAAGCAGAGCAGATTCTTCAGTGCCAGCCAGGCCTCAGTGCCGTTTGCATTTGAAGCTCCATTAACATTCAGACAAGTTTCCCACATTTATCTGAATTTGGAAAGTACCGCACAACCTTTAGAGTTCTAAAATCTCTGATAGTCTGGTATGTTGGCTGAGCTAAAGCCTGAAATCTGTGATAGAAAGCTGGTTACAGACCCATCCCTGTGGCCGCAGTGCCTGGGTGTAGGAGGTCAGCGATGGGTGGGCAGGAGGGAGAGCCAGCAACGTGTTAACCAACAAGTGAGGGCACAGCCTGACTGTTGTGTCGACTTATTTTTTAGGTGAATCTTGCCACAACTTCAGTTTCCAAAATGGCCACGGATTTTGCAGAGAATGAACTGGATCTATTTAGAAAGGCTGTAAGTACATTGGCCAGGCTTCTTAGGGGACACTTCTGTTTCCATTCTTCAAGGGTCACTAGGGAGATACAGGCCACTATTGCTGCCTGAGAGAGGCCTTTGCAGGAAGATGTCTCTGGGTACCTCATCAGGAATTTACAGCCACCAGGTAATTGCTGGGGAGGCTGCCTTGGCTGCCTGGGAAGGAAGGGCTGGGCCAGATGTGAGCCTTGATGGGATGAGTAAGAGCAGGGCCTCACGGGTAGTAACAGGTGCTCCTGCCCGGCTGCTCAAAGTGCCGTCTGGGAACAGCAGCAGCCGCACACCTGGGAGCTTATTAGAAAGGCTGGATTTCAGTGCTTACCCCAGACTGTTGGATCCAAATCTGCATTTTAACCACGTGCACATTTGAGAGGCATTGCTGTGTGGCTTCAGAGCCATTTGCTCAGCCCTTGTCGCACACCTGCTGAGCACCTGGCTAAGAGAGTGGTTCTCAGGTCTAGATGCAGTGATAATAACTATGGAGGTAAAAAATAATTCAGATGTTCCAGCCTCACCCCAGATCTGTTAAATCCAGATCTCTGAGGACCAGGTCCTGGAATCACTGCCTGTAAATCTCCTGGGGACTACCAGCAGCCAAGGTTGAGAAGCAGGCTTTAGGTGAGCGACATGCACCTGTGTGTCTGCAGGAAGCCCGGTGGCACTGTCCTGCTTCGGGCTGAGGTTTTAGGGAAGCTTGCCTGGCCCTCTACAACTGCCTGCCCGAGCTGTCTCTCTCGCTGGCCCACCTGGCTCTGCTCTCCTGTCTTTCCTAGCTCTAGCCTGCCACTGACGCCAGCCTTGCTGTCCTGCCCACCTCTGAGTAAGGAGAGGTGCTGCCTCATTTATTCAGTACTTCATTTCTCAGCCTCCCTGTTTTCAGGGAGGTGGGGGTGGGAGGCAAGAGAGGTGAGGTGATCCTTCTTGATTTTTGGACATTAAGATTATTTGGGATGATATTAAAGTTGTTTGGGGGATGTGTACCTGTGTACACATCCTGTGATGTGATCTGAGTAAGTTCTGCCTGTGATCTGAGTAATTGTACGGCATCCCTGCAAGAATGGGTGTTACCGCTTAAAAGTTTTTTTTTGCCAATTTAATAGATGAACGTGGTACCTCCTATTTCTTCCAGCTGGAACTGATTATTGACTCAGAAACTGGCTTTGCATCTTCCACAAACATTTTGAACCTGGTTGATCAACTTAAAGGCAAGAAAATGAGGAAGAAGGAAGCCGAGCAGGTGCTGCAGAAGTTTGTACAAAACAAATGGCTGATAGAGGTACTTTGCCTGATGGTTTCCTCAGCCCAGTGCACTTTTCAGAGTGGATAACAGCTTTTCCTCTGAAACCATATTTGTATCCCATTGATGTTTGCAGAGCCAGGCCGGCCCTCTTGGGTCCTTATCTGCTTTAATGTGTAACCACAGTGACCTGGCAGGAGGATTTGGACCCCGCCCCTGTTTGCTCAGATGAGCTGTCCAGGGTGCCACAGCCAGAAGTGGCAGAGCCAGGAGCAGTGCCCAGGGATTCAGGCTCTGGGATCAAGCCTTTGGCCTGTAGACTGAGGCAGAGTGTGGTTCAGTGCTTAAGAGTACAGCTCTAGTGTCTGACTTGGCTCTGAGCCCTGGGCCAGGTGACCTAGACTTGCCCATCTGTAAGAGGGGGGTGATAGTATCTCCCACCTCTGGGCATTTGGGGGGATGGAACAGGAATGAGACAATGTAGTAAGGTGCATGGTGTTGGCTGCCTGGCACCGGGAGGAGGCTGGCTGAGGAATCGTTGTTGTTACCTGGCTGTTGTTACCATTGCTGTTACTATCAGCAGCATGTTGCCCAGGGCCAGTGCTCTGGGTTCTTTCACTTAGGCAGTGGCCCTTAAGAAGCAAAGAGGAAGTGCCGACAAACTTCAGGAGCAGGTGTGGAGAGCTGGGAAAGGCCCGGAGTGCAGATTCAGTTTCTAGATGCTGCCCACCCCCGTGTCTAGTCCTATTGATTGCAGCAGAACAAATGTTTCAGTTCTTTTTCCACAAAAGGCACCACTGTTTTCAAGAAGCCTGGGCCTGACAGCTCGGTGTTGGCCAAGTTTACCACAGCTGTGCTCCCCCACCCCCGCGGCCCCCCCGAATGCCTGCACCCCCGTCTGTTCAGGACACGCTCACATCGACCCTCCACTTCCTCGCTTGGTGGTTAGACTTCTGGCCGGAGACTGCTGCTTGTGGCTAAAGAGATTATTCATTTCCTTTTCAGGGAGAGCTTGCCGCTGGGTTGTGGTAGTTCGTGCTCTGAGTTACTGATTTCTTTGTGGAGCAGGTTCACCCCGGCAACCTGACCTGCACTCAGTTCCTGGGGTACCTGATGGGGGGAAAGTGCCAGAGAGGTTCCTGGGGATGAGGGCAGGACTGGGGGCACCTGGTCAGTGCCCAAATCTGCCAGGCACGTTCATGTCCTGTCCTTGAGTCCACCCGCTGCTCTGTGACAGGTCCATAGCTCAGTTTTTAGCTGACAGACTGCAGCTTAGTGGTCTGGGTGATGTCTAACACCCTGAGAGTAGCAGAGCCAAGTTCAGGCCCCAGTCTGGGGACTGCAGCTCCCCATCAATGGCTTTGTCATAGTTTTTGTTTATCTCTGGGGTGTAGTTGGCAATAGAGAATGGTCTCAGGTGGCGCAGGTTATGACTGACTGTTTTCTCTTGTGGTGCAGTCTCTCTTCAGGCCAGGCTGTTTCAGGCCAGGGCTGTTCCATCGTTGGCCCCTGTTGCAGACGTAGTGCCTGGCACCATCGATGCCTGCTGAGTGGATGACTAGACAGGGCGGTGAAGTTCCAGAGGGCCAGAGTTTAAGACCTGCAGAAAAATGGTACAAGAAATACGTGCTCATTATAGGAAGATTAAATGTTGATATGCATTAAGAAATCCATCGAAGTCACCTCTTATCCCAGCTTTTAGAGCTAAGGGCTCTGGCATCTCAGTTCATAGCCCTTTGCACTTGTAATTTAGAGCACTTATCTAGCTTACGCTGACATCCTCATGTAGAGCTCACAGGGCGTGCGCCTGACTTTAGCATTAGATTTTCCCTTTGCCCAGCCCTTCACTGCCTGGAGAGACAGGTGACAGAGGAAAGGCCCTGCCTCTGTCTGTTGGACTGAGCTTTGGATCCGGGCTCTGCCCTCTTGTGCCTTCCTCAGTGACATGAACGTGCTGGCACCGCCTTCTTCATGGTGGCCCTGAGCTCCAGAGAGAGTGGAACAGAGGTTCTACAAGCTGCCGCAGGAGGAGTTGTCACAGCCCTGGTGCCAGGCAGCCCTGTAGGACTCCTCTTATTGACTGTCTGGCCCTCAGGGGCCCTCATATGGACAGAGGAGCAGACTTGGTGGAGAGGGGCAAGGGATGAGAGACACCTCCAGATCTCCCACCACCTCTGGCAGGTGGCTGCTGGTCTCTGAGACTGTGCTTCTCACCTGAGTACAAGGATGTTGGTTGCTCCCGGGTATTTTTCGTGAAGGCCCCAGTGCTTTCGGACCTGGATGGGCTGGTGAGAGTTGCTGTGAGATCTGTGGCGCTTTGGAGGAGCCACTGAAGACTGGGGGATGGGGAGCTGGCTGGCCCCCCGACAAGCCTTCCTGGGGGCAGCACTTCCATCAGAAGGGCCACGTTTCAGAGTCTGATCCTCAGACTCTCAGAATGGGACTCTCCATAGGAATAGCTGGGTGCCCGCTGACTGGGGTCATTCCAGGTAGGTCTGACACCCCAAGGACACTTCATGGCTGGAGAGACTATGGTTTCGCACAGAGTGAGGCAGCTGCCAGTCTGCGATGAGGCCATGGGGTGGAGGGTGGTCAGGCTTGGGGGAGGCCTCTGAGAGCAGGAATGGCTTGTTGGAGCCTAGGTGCCCACTGACTAGCCACATCTCCACACACCCCAGGGGCTGCCCATCTCTAGCCTTGTGTTGTTGCCAGGCCTGGGAGATCACTTGAGCTGTGGCCTTCTTTGGAGAACTAGGAAACCCCACCTGCCCCTCCCCTAGTGGGCCACAGAGGACTGAGTGGGGTTGTGAACCATAAGCCTTCGGTGCAGTTGCAGGCATATGTAGGTGTTTAGTAAATGTGACTTGAGCCTGAACTGGAACTTGTTCACCAGAGCACTGGACATTCCTCCTTGGCATGAGTGCAGGGTCTGTTTAATCTTCCCTCAGATGCTTAGCATGGGACTGCCAAGTATTGGGCCCCACACCAGATGCTGGGCACACAGGAGTGAGCAAATCTAGACCTGGCGGCTGCTCTCATGGGGCTCGCAGCCTGCTGGGGGAGCCCAAGATCAGTCACACAGTCTTCTTGCTGAAGTAGAGTTGCAGCTGGAAAGGAAACATGGTTTTAAGTCAACTTTAACAAAGGAACTGGCCCTCAGCTGAGGACGTGACAGTCGGGCTGAAGGCTATGGAGGAGTTAGCTGCGGGTGGTCAGCCTGTGCAAAGGCCCTGTGGCCAGAGGGGGCACAATGTACTCCAGGAATTGAGGCCAGGGTGATCTGAGCACAAGGAACATGAGCAGAGTGGACAAGATGGGCCTGTGAAATGGCACATTGGGGACTTGGCTCTTCAGCCCAAGGATGATGGGAGGCCCTGGAGGGTTTAGGCAGAGTGACAGGGCTGGGCTTGTTCTGTAGAGGTCACGTTGCTGGTGGAGAGGTGGCTCAGGAAGAGCAGTTGGGGGAGGTGAGGGTGGAATCGGATGGTGGCCTTGGGGATGGAGTACATGATGGATTTAGGAGCTTTCGAGAAGGAACCAGTCACACAGCACTTGAAGGGGCACAAAGCCTCTGTGCACAGGTGACAGCCATGGTGCAGGACACCAGTGCCTGGTGCTCCAGCCTCCCTGCCCTCCTGAAACCCACGCAGCCTGCCCTCTCTGGCACCAGCAGTCACTGCCCCAGCTCTCCAATGCCACACCCGATTGCCTGTGTCTCCCTCCAGTGGTCACCTGGCCCCTACACTGGTGGCCCAGAGTGAACGCACTGAGCCTAGGTCACACAAACACACTGCCCTTCCATGTGCATGGTAGGGATGGAGGCAGGAACAGGGTGGAGGGTGTCTAACTGTCAGAAATCTTACAACAAGCTCTTGCTTGTTGTACAAATTAGAAAATAGCAGAAAAGGCAGTGAGCACGCGGGGAAACTCCACGGGCTTCTGTCCTCAGTGGCGCCATCTCCTGGTCAGGCCTGAGCCCTCTCCCTCCCAACCGGACCTCCACAGGCTTCTCAGCGTGCCTGTGTCCCGCCTCCAACCCCCACGCTGGCACCTCCCTGCTCCCGTCCAGGGAAGAGAATCAGACGGTAATGGCAGTGCTTAACAAACCACATCCCGATCCCTTATCTGACGCTGATGAGGCAGGATTGACTTGAGTGGGTTCCCATGACATTCGCCTCCCTGCAGGTCTCCCTCAGTCCCCCTCTCTCCTGAGTCTTGGCAGTGGGGTTGGCCAGGGAAGCCAAATTGTTGGTGTGCTTCCTGGCTCTCCCAGGCTTTTCAGGCCACATGTCGTGTGGGCTGTGCCCAGAGGTGGGAACCAGGAGGCCCAGCTCTGCCTCTCTGCACTCCTTCCAGCTTCATCTGTCTGTAAAGTGGTGTGGCCGGAAGTGATCTCGGATGGTCCCTGTGGAGGCTCCAGGCAGCAGTGCTGGGAGGCTCTGGAGATGCTACTCTTGGGGAGTGGGGTGGGGCAGCTGATGGCGAGGAATAGAAGCAGTGGGTTTGCCTTCAGGGAGACTGTCGCCCTTCGTGGGCCTCAGTGTCCTTACCTTCAGGAGGACTGTGACAGCGCCTCATTTGGGGTCTCTGTGCAGATAGAGTGGTCATGTCTGAAGGTACGAGCAAGGTACCAAGAAGGTGCAGGGGCGGGGGAGCCTCGCCTGCATTGCCTTTTAGGTCTTTGTTGCAGTTTTCCTTGCTGAGGCTCTGCGAGGGCACAGGGTTCACTCTCATTGGCTGGGGCTGGTGTAAACCTGCAGGGGCGAGGAGTGTCCAGACCTTTGTGTCTGCCTGGCCTGTGGGATGGCAGAAGCGGACAGAGGTACTGAGTGGGGAGAAGGCCTGGCTGAGGGTAGCCACCTCCCTTTCTGTCCCCGCAGAAAGAAGGGGAGTTCACCCTGCACGGCCGGGCCATCCTGGAGATGGAGCAGTACATCCGGGAGACGTACCCGGACTCCATGAAGATCTGCAACATCTGCCACAGCCTCCTCATCCAGGTACCCCCTGGGCAGGTGTGCGCCCCGCTCCCCAAGGCCCAGCCCCCCGACACTGCCAGGACATCCCCCAGTGGGGGCGGATGGAGGCCATCTCCCCGGACATGTCTGAGGACGCTGCTCCCACTCTGCCCTAGTGGATGTGCCGCCTTTCCAACTCCCTGGCTCCACTATTCTAGTCCAGGGTTCTCACTTTATTTATTTTTCTCCAGGAGGGCTCTCCTGCGTCTTTTGTGTAACCGCCGTTTTGTGGTGAACGTCTTTCTATGTCGACTGTTGTTTCCTCAGTCATCTGTTTTACACTGATGCTTTGCAGGGCTTTACAGCCAGTGAACCAGTGCTGGACATTTATGTGTCCTTCCTTTCGGTTTTTATCATTTTGTAATTTTTTCTTTTTGTGATTGCAGTTGCTATGATGGGCCTCTTTTGCACATGTATCCTTGGGCACCTGGTGATTATTTCCTTGGGTTGAATTCTTACAAGTGAAATTTCTGGGACAAAGTGCGCATTTTTTTTTAACATTTCTGAGCCATGTTGCCAAATTGCCTTCTGAAAGCTGTGGTTGTCTACACCCACCTGCAGGTCTGAGTGCAGGAGCCCGAGAGCTGCTAGGGTGGCCTTGTGAGCCTGCAGCTTCTTCCACTGTGGTCATTTGTTCAGAATTCTTTAGTAAAACCCACGGTACTAAGGACATTGGGATTATTGTCAGTATGAATTTGGGGCCTGGAAGATAAGGCGCTCGCCTGCTGGCCATTTTCCTTACAGCTGCCCTGGGGGTTGTGGAACATGCAGGCGCGCACGGGCTCCACGGTCAGCCCTTCTTGTTTCAGGGTCAAAGCTGCGAAACCTGCGGCATCAAGATGCACTTGCCTTGTGTTGCCAAGTATTTCCAGTCAAATTCTGAGCCGCACTGCCCCCACTGTAACGACTACTGGCCCCATGAGATCCCAGGTACGTGGTCCCCAGGCACCCACGGGAGGCTGGGCTAGCAGATCTCAGTGCCTGGACACGGGAAGCCCTTGGAGACGGGAGTGCTCTGGAGGGCTCCGCACACATTGGGGGTCTGTGTCAGCAGCCCGATCCCACAGGTGGAAGCGGCTGGTGCAGGAAGTGAAGGCTGACTCACACAGTTCCAAGGGGCTCTCTAGAACGCAGTAGAAATTCTAACACATGTGAGCATCCGTCTGGCAGCCATCTCCAGAGGGTCATGTGAAAGCAGTACCCGCAGCTCCCTCAGTTTGTTCCTCTGTGAATCGGGACAATTCCACCTTCCTCACAGGCTGGGGAGGAGGGTTAGCAGTGAAGAGTGTTAGGGACGTAGGACAGAGTCCTTGGCACGGGAAACGTAGCTGTCAGCTTGAGCTGGTGTCCCTGTGCCACCAGCCCCTGCCATTCACTGTGTCTTCCTGGCCTTTCCTGTATATAGAAGTCTTCGACCCTGAGAAGGAGAGGGAGGCTGGCATCTCCAAATCGAACAGAAGGTCCTTGCGGTCCAGGCAGCATTAGCCGCTGTGCCCTGCTGAGGGGGCCCGTTGGCCACCCAGCCCTGCCTGGAGGAGGGCTTCAGTGTTTTACATGTTACACAAATCACCTCCTTGTTCTTTACATTCATTGTTAACAGGTTTGGAATAAAACTGTTTTAAGTTGCTTCAGCCTCATTCTGTGGTCTGGGGCTTCTGTGAATGCAGTTTTGCGCCGTGGCCTTTCCTTCTTTCTTGGAGTTCAAGTGCTGACTCGGAATCCTTGGTTTGGGCTCCGGCAGGCAAAGCCAGCAGAGCTTCTCCTGCAGGACAGTGCCCTGTTCCAGAGCTACTGCTGGCCCAGAGCAGCTCACTGTCCTTGCCCAGGGTGGCTTTGTCTTCAGTCCCAGCTTAGCTCACTTGTCCTGTCAGGACCTGGCCAGCCCCAAGCCTGGACCTGTGAGCCTTGCCCTTGCCCTCTCCAGCTCCCCGCAGTCTGGACTCTCCCATGGCCTGAGGTGCCACTGGCCTGAATGCGCAGGTGACTGGCAGCCCTGTGTGTCCAGCAGCTCCAGCCTGGATGCTGCCTCCTCCCAGCCCTCCTGCACACAGTTGTCACAGGTCCCATCCAGCTACTGCTCCAGGACGATTCTAGAGACCCACGGTGGGCTCCTGCCCCACTGTTGAGGGTGCAGTGCTTCCTTCCTCTGACTTCTTGCTGGAGCCTTGGTCGGTGCTCCTTCTGCTGCACGCCGTCCCCTCTGCTGTTCTGCCTTTCCTGGCCACCCTCAGGTCTTGGCAGCCTCTCACCTCTGCAGTGCTCAGTCCTGCTCCCTGCTTCCTTGGTCCTCACACTTGCCGCACTGTTAGAATTCCCTGTCTCCCTGCCTCTTGTCCACCCCATTACCAGTCAGGACCCCTTAGTCGTGGCAGAAAGGCCAACTCAAACTGGCTCGAACAAGGAAGGACTTGGCTCGAGGGGCCCTCAGGAGAGGCTGGGTCTAGCAGTTCCAGCAACGTCACCAGGCATCCGTATTTCTGCCTCTGCTCCAATGTCACTGACTGGCCTCCTGCTCGGGGCCTGCAGGTAGTTTCCCAGGAAACCCAGACACTTTCTTCATGGTAACAGAACGGCTGCCCTGTGTCCAGGCCCCACGCCCCAGTGTCAGAAGGGGTGGCTCTCGTTCAGTGGCTCCCCCTGCCCCAGGGAGCATTCTCACGGCTCCGAGTTCCAATGTGGACGCCGTGAAGGTGGGGAGGGGATACCGCAAATGGCACTGGGAAGTCAAGCTTGCCCAGAGCCTCAGGAGGGGCAGTCCCTCCCAAGCTGCGTGGCCAAGTGAGCAGGGGCTTCTCCCTAAGCAAACTGAGGGTGCTGTCACCAGGCAGGGGAATGCTCTGTGGACACTGAATTGGTGGGGTGGCCTCCCCCATGCAGCAGGGCTGCTCTGCCTTGTTCACCTCCATAAACCCAGTGCGTGGCGGGCATCTGGGGCATGGTGAGTGATGACACCTGCTGGGGGGCTCACCCTCCCAGACCCGAGTCCAGGCCCCTGAGCCCCTCATGCCCACCTCCCCGTCAGTAAGGCAGCCTGGGACCCCGCACAGCCCTTCATCAGTGGGCAGACACAAGCCTGCTGGGAAGGCCGGTGGGCACCCTGACTCGGTGGGGAGTTCAGTCAGTGTGTCGGGCAAGCAACAGAAGCCTCAGCAGCTTAACCAGAAAGGGGTTTCCTGGAAAGGTATGAGGTAGCTCGTAGAAATGGCAGGAAGGCAGAACCAGTCTAGAAAAGATGGACCTTGGAATCGGATTCTGGTTGGCCAGACCGATTCCTCAGTCACAGGGGGCGCTGTTGCCGCAGTAGGTCAGCTCCAGCCTGTGTCCGTCTTCCCAGCACGCCCTCAAGATGCAGGTGCAGGGAGCCGCCGAGTCACAAACCCTCCAGGACCGTACTCCCTGGGAGGTCAGTAGTCCTCCAGAATCCCAGCAATCCCATTCTGCAGGACAGGAGCATGGACGCCAAGAGGCAAAAAGCCAACCAGCGCTGGGCAAAAAGCCAGCCAGCTCCTACCTCCACGGCCACCGTGTGCCCTGCTGGTCAAGGAGCACCATGTCCATACGGCTTGGGTGAGTCCTAGTTGGTGACCCAGGAAGTCTGAGCACCTGTCGCTGGGACACTGGCCTTCCAGCTACTAACCTCCCTGTCTCCCACCCTTTCATGATGACACCAACACGAGTGTCCCACAGTGGGCACCCATACTCCCCGCTAAAACCCTCACTCAGAGTCCCAGCCTCCTCACCTGTGATCCGGCCTGGCCCACCTTCTCTTCCATGGCCCTGCCCTCCGTTGGCAGCCCTGACCTCGTCACTCAGGAATTGCTGACTGGCCCGGTGCGGCTCACTGCTCTCTGGGTCCCTAGTGTCCCTCCCAGGCCCTTGTGTCCGTCCCAGCCGAGCACTTGTACCGCCCAGGCCTGTGGCCTCACTGCAACCCCCACACTGCCCCCACCAGGCTTTCCTGCCTCAGGGCTGTTGTACCTGCTGCTGGGAGCTGGGCCTCAAATCTCAAGCCAATTCTGCATTCCTGGCCATTCAAGCTTTTTATTCAAATGTCAACTGTCAAAAAATCACCTCCCTATAACCCATCTCCTGATGCCACTTTTTATCCTGTTATTCATCACTATCTGACACCATCTTGTTTTATTCTGATCTCCTCACTGGTCCCCCTCCCCAACAATAGTGTTAAAACACCTGGAGGGCAGGGACCTCATCTGGCTCTGTGTGTGGCACGGAGCAGGCCCTCTCCACATCATGGACGGGCAGGTGGCAGGTGGGGCCCCTTGCTTGCGCCTCTCCCTGGCTCTGAGCGGCTGCCTGGCGCTCTGATTCCAAGCTGACTTTAGCGTCCACATTGCTCACGGGCTAAAGCCAGCCCTCCAGCGGGGCTCACTAGCAACACGGGAGCCCTGCCACAGGACGTGAAGGGTCCTCTTCTGAGTTCCTCCCATCTGACAAGGGACATCGACTTGAGGCAGCTGGGCCTCGATCAATGTGTTAATGAGTGTGGCTTCCGGTGCAGGCTTTGGAGGCAATGACATTACAGATGAGCCGCTTGTCAGCTGTGGCGCAGGCAGATGTGGGGCCTGCCAGTGGGAATGGATGGGACGGGGACGGCTGGGCCCCTGGAAGCTGGAGCCACAGCCGCCCGTCCCTTGGCTGGGGCAGGGGTGCAAGTTACACTCGAGGGCCTGTGAGTTATGGCCCCTCTGCAGCCACGCAGCTGCCATTCCTCATGAAGGGTGCACAGGCCGGGCGTGGTGGCATTCCTATTTTATGCCTCACTACCTTTGGTGGCATTGCTATCTGGTATAAATTCTTCATATGAGAAATTAAGTAAATAACTATTAATAATGGCAGATGGGGGAATAAACAATCACCCTGCAAGCCGCTGACCAGGGAGCCGAGCCTCCTCCACTGCTTCCCAGCTCTCGTGTTCGTCCCTCCCTGCACGCCTGGTGCCTCCAGCAGTCCACTCACTGGAGTCCCATGGCCTCCTCGGGGGTCCCATGGCCTGCATGTCTTGCCCACTGCCAACACCTAGCTTTCAAAAATGCAGATTCTGATGATCCCTGCTCAAACGCCGAGGCCCCCAGACCTATGCGATGAAGGTCAAACCCCTTGGCCTGGGCATGGAAAGCATTAGGGGCTGGAGTTCCAGCTGCCTACCACCACCTGCCCACCCCCTTGCTCAGACACCCAGGGTGGGCGTGCAGCCAGGCGCCAGGCACAGCAGCCGTTCCCGTGGCTCTGGGTTGCACCAGAGATGGGCAGAGGGCCCTGGCCTGGCCGGCCAGAATCTTCCTTGGGGTTTCTCGACTGGGCTGAAGGACAAGCTGCAGGTCCTTCAAAGATACGGAGCTGAGCCCCCTGGGGAGAAGGCCTGGCTTTGAAAGGGAAAGAATGAAGCCAGGCAGACATGAGTGCGCAGCCAGAGAGGCAGAGGAGCCAGGTGGGGGCTGAAGCCTGGGCGCCCCCTGCAGCACCTGCAGTTCTGGGAGCACCCCAGGCACCCTTCCTGCTGTGGAAGCCAATACGTGTTTCATTTGTTTTTCCTTGAACTAGTTTGAGCTGGGTTTCTATCACAACCAAGGGGGTCCCAGCCCGCCTGGCACTCGGGCTGCACTATCTACTGCTGTTGCATATTCAGTTGCGTCTTGTACCACATCCCTCACCCTACCCTGGGCTCCAGCGGTCCCCGCTCACTATGCAGTTCCCTCTGCCACAGGGCCCACTCTGTCTTCCTGGCGATCCCTGCACATCCTTCCAGATCCAGCTCTGGCCTCTACTTCCTCGTCCCACCCTTCCTCCCGCCTTTGCGTGGCCACCTCACATGGCTCCCCTGGCTGTAGCACTTCCCACACCCAAGGATGCTATCACCAGGGACGAGCCATCTCCCCCCAAGGGCTGAGTGCTCCCCGACCTCTGGGGGTACGTCCTGCTCTCTCCCTGGTACCCCCTATGCTGCCGACAACAGGCAGCAAGGAAATTTTGCTTGAACAAATGATTTTTAAAACAAAATTATTTTTTCCTGCTTACATTATTGAAAACATTTGATATTATAGAGAAAAATATTAAAGAAAACCAAACATCCATAGTCTTATTATTGGTCTAAATATACCCACAATTTATTTGGAGCATTTCCTCTGGGACACACACATATATATACATGTGTGGTCATGTGTGCACATCACACATGTATACAGGTAGCATCTGAATGTAGTGTGTTTTACTCACCATAACACAGCATTTCTTCATGACTTTCAGACTTCTGAGTGTTCACAGCTAAATAATATTCCTCTGCACTGATGGGCCGTTTCTTACCAACTCGATTCAGGATGTCTCCAGTTTCTTGTTATTACAAGTGGTGCCACGACGTCATCCTGCACGTGCATCCTTGCCCGTCTTTCTGCTATTTCCTCAGGACGGGTTTCCAGCAGTGGGGTCACCAGACCCCGAGGTATGCACGAATGTTGAAGGTTCTGGGTTTTTACAAAACTCGAGCCAGGATGAACTCCCGCCAGCGGGACATCCCACCCTCTGCTACAGTGGATGCGAGAGCTGGAAGGGTTCTGGCCAATTTGGTAGGTATCTTTGTTTCAATTTGCATATCTTTTAGTATTAGCACGTCATAATATTTTTTTTAGCTTTATTAGGTTTTAAATGTCTTCTTTTGTGCTTGGTTTGGAATGAATTACTCTACCTCACGGTCACTTGGTGTGATGGATGTTGTCAAACTCCAGACAACACTGTAGAAATGTCCAATCTGTGGTTCTCCCACCCAGTGGGGAGGGGGCTTCCCTAGTGCCCGCTGTGGGGACATGCCTGTCTTTAGTCAGAGGGCTGGGGAAAGTCTTAGCAGCCAAAACATAAAAAAAACAAGGGGCTTTAATTAACAAACAAGTTAAAAAAACCCGAAACCCCGGGCCCCCCCGGCCCAAACCCCCCCCAAAAAAGAAGTAACCCCCGGGGAAAACCGCCAAAAAGGGAAAAAAAGGGGCCTCCAAGCAACGGGGAAGGGTCCGGTTCCTCAATTCGCAACCCCCCAACGGGGGGGGGCAAGGGGGAAAAATCAAGAAACCAAAAAACCAACCCGGGCCCCGCAAGCAAGGTAACCGGCAAGAAAGAAGACCGCAAGAAGACCCCCCCGCCCCGGAGGTGGCGGGGAGCTCCTGAGCACGCCAGTGAAGACCCTTCCGTGTGGCCAGGGCCATGCCACTCTCTGCAGAGTCTCCGGGCTGCGGCGTCCCACAGGCTCGGACACGGTGAGGAAAGATATAAGATCAGTAACTAGGCTTAGCAACAGCAGCTAAGGTTCCCGCAGCAGCAGGGCGCTGCCGCCGCGCACGCACCACCTCCTGGGCCCTCCTTTCCAGATGGAGACCCGGGCACGGCGGAGTGAGCTGTCCTGGCCCAATCACACAGCAGTCAAGCGACGAGGGGGGGTTTGAGGGCAGCAGCCGGCGTCAGAGCCCGTGCCGCGCCACTGCACGGGCCGCCGTCCGCTAGACTTGTGAGGCCTCACGATGCTGCCGCCTGCACGGGGGCTGCCCAGGATGTCCTTCCGGGGCTCTGCCCGCTCTGCGCCTGCCCAGTGCCGCAGCCCAGCCCCCTGGGCAGGGACGGCTTCCTCAGGGCACAGGTTCAGTTGTGCTTGTCCCTAGACTGCAAGACCCGGCGCCAGATTGGGCAGAGCAGGGGACGACTGAATCGGTGACGGCCGTTTGCGTTTCAGGCCCTTTCAGCTCTCACCCTGGCTACGACCACCAGAAGCTGACGGAGAAACTCAGGTCCAGAGCCCGCACGTAGTGCCAGTATTTAACTGGGATAAACAGGATCTCTCCCGGGGACAGGACGCAGGACTGGAACGGGGCCTCGGTAAACTTGGGGAACTTCTCTACGTCGGGGTTCTCCACGTCGACCTGAAGAAAGCAAAAGAAGCCGCTGTCTCCAGGAACAGTGCAGGGGGTGGCGGGGAGGGTCTGCAATGTCACACTAGGTGCCACATGCCCACCTGGCTCGTGTTATGAAGAAGGTGCGTGTCGTGAGGATATAAAGCCTCTGACTCCTGCGGCGAATACAGCCGGATGTATTTCCTCCCCATCACCTGGGAAGAGACAGACCCCATCAGTCGGCTGGTGGCCTCCGCGCCTGCTGCTGCCTGCGCTGGTCTGTAGGTCCCCGGATCCCACACCCTCCCCTTACCTCTGCGCCTTCCCACATGCTGTTCCCTGCGCCCAGTCCACCCTTCCCCACCACACACATGCTTAGAGTTCTGTATGTTTTCCTTCTGAATAGTTTACGAATCAGTGACTTCCCTATCGGAGCCAACAATAATGAAGCACTTGATGTGCCAAGCACTGTTTATGCACTTCCTGTATATTAACTTGTTTAATCCTCACGGCAACCCTCTGGGGTGGTTTATCTTCACCCCCATTTCACAGGTGAGGAAACTGAGGCAGACAGGCTAAATGAACTGCCCAAGCTCACAAAGCTGCCAGGTGACAGAGCTGGTGTCCGTGCCAGGCAGGCTGGCTCCCGAAGCCCAGCTCCTGGCCTCTCTACTGCACTGCGTCTTTGGACTGGTTGGCTGGGCTGGAATGTAATCTGTCAAACCCCTCTCTCTGCCTATGAGAAGCAAGGTGGAGAGAGGCCCCTCTCCTTGCAGCAAACACACCCTCTTCTCTGCCTGGGTCTCAGGAAGACTATCTAGTGACTGAGAAAGTTCCTTCTCCCGCCGGCCCCTCCCTATTGGGAAGCTGGTCTGGATGGACAGCAGGCAGGGGGAGGGCAGGGGGCAGCCTGGGGTGCCGTGCCAGGTGCTTGCTCCATCTGTCTCCTCAGAACGCTCCCCTGCCTGGGGACCTCGGGGTGAGCGTGGTCCAAGACGCCACTTCTGGAAGCAGCCCTGACTGGAGAGAGGGTCTTACCCTGGGCCTGGTACCATTTCTCAGTTTTTACTTTTGTCCACATTCCTTTCAGTGGTTCTTATTTCTCTTTTTAGGAGCCTAGTATTTAAAGGTAGATGATGTGGCCAGCCGCATGGCTGGGCCAGGAGCAGGGAGAGGACCTGGGCCAGGAAGTTCTGCTGCGGATCCTGATGGAGTGGGGAGACAGTGCCTTGGGGACCAAACCAGGCATTAATGGTGATCTCTTCTTCCTCCCCGGTGCCCAGGCAGCAGTAGTCGGGGATGTTGATGTCCTGTCTCAACTCTGGGATCTGCGGGTGTCAGAGCAGACAGGGGAGGTTGAGACCAGCCTGCAACATACCGGAGCAGAAGTCAACACCTGTCTATCTGACAGAGGACTCAAATACACGCTACGACCATGTCCATATTTTAGTGGATAGGAATTTTAAAAACAATTTAAAAAACAAGTATCAGTAGGGAAGAGTTGTAATTTTATTTTGTTTCCTTTTAAAAAAACCCCTTACCAGTGCTTTATATTTAAAAATAAACCACCCTGTCATTTTCTAAAGAGTTAAACATATTTTAAAAAATCAAACTGAAGAAAAACGAAAAGAAAATGGGATTGAGGCCAGGCGTGGTGGTTCACACCTGTAATCCTTTGGGAGGCATTTTGGGAGGCTGAGGCAGGATTGCTTGAGGCTGGGAGTTTGAGATCAACCTGGGCCACATAGCGAGCCCCTGCCTCTACAAAAAATTAAAAAATTAGTCAGGTGTGGTGGCAGCCACTGTAGTCCTGGCTACTCAGGAGACTGAGGCAGGAGGATCACTTGAACCTAGGAATTCGAAGTTACAATAAGCTACGATCCGGCCACTACACTCCAGCCTGGGCGACAGAGCCAGACCCTATCTCTAAAAAAGAAAAAAAGAAATGGGATTGAATACTTACTAAATCTCTGGAGAGGAGTATTTTCTAAAATTTACCAATGGTAAAGAAATCACAATTCATACATTTTAAATAAATTAATGACTATAAAGACCAACAAATTAGGGAACTTATTTGAACTAACTGCGGTGAATGAGGGGTTAATATACAGACTTCATACAAACTAGTAAGGAAAGTGCTAAGATCTCGATACATAAATGTCACCATAATCAAAGAACACAACCAGATAATACAGGAAAACAAATTACATATAAGGAAGGGCTTCGGTCTCATTAGCAAATAAACCGAAATTAAATCAACAATGAGTCACTGGTTCCCACTAATCAAATAAGTAAAGACTGAAAATGCGATAACGCCTTGCGGTGGTGAGGATGTGGAAGGCTCGCTCTCGGCAGGGCTGCCGGGGACACCGAGTGCCACAGCTACTCGGCGCGTGGCGACGTGCACGCGTCTCACAGGGCATGCAGCCTGGCTCGGCTGGGAGGGTGCCGGGCTCCTCTGTGACGAGTGTGGCTCCAGGAGGAGCTGGGGGCCTCGGGGATGAGGCGAGGGCTCACGGGGGGACACGCGTGGGCTCCCCTGTCTGGGCCACCAGCGGGGGTCTGCGGTGGTGAACGTGGATGACAAGTCGGTGTGGGAGAACAGCAGTCAGCCTGTCCTGCTAGTGTTTCCGTACAGCCCGCTTCCTTCCCCAGCTCCCCACGCCCCAGGCTCCCTGACATCTTTTTGAGAGAGTTCCTATAACAAAGGCGTGGATTCCTGGCTTCCTACTTTTAGGAGCCCAGGGTGGGCACAGAGCATTTATTTCCATGCAGGCAGACACAGGCTGGGCACAGACTCCGCCTGGTGAGACAGGCAGTGGGGTGAGACAGCTTCCCCAAGCCTCGCGTATCATGAGATCTTGGAGGTTCATGGTGGGGTGGGACACTGGCGGACTGGCCTTCTTTGGAAAGAACCAGGGGCTCAGAACCCTCAGCAGGCACCGTGGTTTACCTCCAGGGTTGAACCCACCACAGTGGGCCGCCAGCCCTCACCCTCGAGCCATCTGGGTTCTTCACAAGACCACCGTGGACCCAGAGGCATACCTCCCAGAAGCCTCGGAGGTAAGAAAACAGGGTTGCCAGGGGGCTCGGGTCTTTGCAGAGTCTGTGCTCCCGGCCGGAAGGCGCGCCTGCGGTAGATACCGCCCTTCCTTCCGGAGCTGCTGCCACAATTGCGGGTTGCCTGTTAAGAAACCAAGACCACCTAGGAAAACAGGAATGTTCTCCCTGCAAGGGGCTTGGGCCCAGATGCTGCTGCTCCCTCCTTTCAGAATCTGCCTCAAACTGCCGGTGGAGAAATGCGGAAATGCTGCTGTGCCCACCACTTAGGGCTCATGTAGAAGTTCACAAGCTGAGGTCCCCTCCCGGGGCGTGGCAAGATTCCCAGTGACCTCTCAGAGCACACCCCACGCTGTGGCTTCTGGCTGGGATGGCACCAGGCCTGGCCCAGTGGAATGCTGAGTGGAAACTCTGATTGGTTCTTGGTGACATCACCAGGATTTCTGAAAGGTGATTGGTTGACCAGATCATGCACGCAGATTAGCTGGCCAAGAATTCAGAGACCCCCCCAAAGAACAAATGCTCCCAAGATGTGACAGATAATAGAAGCAGGCCTAAAATGGCCAAAATCTTCTAAAATACGGAGTCCCTGGGAGGAAAGTCAGTAAGAGGTTCTTGGGGAAAAATGTGGTAGGAGCTGCTGAGCTTCCTATAGACGGAGAGGGTCCCAGAAAACATGCCGACTTCTCCTGAGGTCCTCTCAACAGCAGAGGGAACACACACCTCTGGGACCCGAGGTGAAGCCCCAGGCGGCCCTCCACCAGCTGAAATGTCATTATGATTCTGACGCATCTTAAAAATAATTGTGAATGTTGCTTTCTACGCCTAAATACACCTCCTCTTGTCCTGCAAAACGGCTGCTCCAGGACAGGAGGCCATGCCCCAGTGTGACAGGTCAGGGGACCAGCTGGCCTCCTGGGGTCGCACAGTAGGGGCCTGATCCATTAGAATCCCTCTTTTCTTCACTTAGCAAACGAGGTGGACTGGAGGCAGGGTTCACGAGTCCTCACAAGGGAGGCCCAGGGAAGAGACCGTCACTGGCGCCCTTTAACTGTGGGCGTGGAGGCTCCTTGCGTCTGGCATAGGCCCTGCTGGCCCTGGGTCCTCTGGGAGAGCCAGGAGTGAGCGCAGCCCTGGTGCAGCAGTGGACACAGCAGCTGAGCGACATTCCAGGGCCTCCGCCCCAAAGCCCGCAGGGATGGGGCCCTAGCGCCACCTTGGCTGTGGTCCAGGTCACGCAGCCTGGCCCTGTCGAGTGCTGCCTCCCTGGGCACCCCTGCTGTGCCCCACCATGGGGGTCTCAGGCCTGGCCAAGACCACACCAGCCACGTCCACCCTGGCTTCCCTAGCTTCATCTATCAAGATTTTGGGGTCCTGAATCGAGGAGTCTTCCTTGACTGCCCCCTTCCCCTCCAGCCCACACATCCACCCATGCCCAGGGGCCAGCAGTTCTCACGCCTGGAACCTCTGCACCTGCCCGGGCATTACCTTTCCTTGGGCCCCTGCAACACTGGGCCGGTCTCCCTCTGCCACAGCCACCCGCTTCGACTCATCCCTGAACAGGGCCCAGCGATCCTCGGGGCACTGACAAGTCCCAGCATTTTTTGTCACGTCAGGAAAACGACCCTTTGTCATCCAGGCCCTGCCTACCTTGCAGGCCTCACCTGCTACTTGCCCCCCTCAGCTCCTGCCACTGAGCTCTTCCACCCTGTCGTGTCAGAGCCGGGGCGGGGTGCGGCGGGGGAAGGACAGAGAAGCGTAGCTCGGACTTACCTGGTCGAAGAGCTGATGCTGGGCAAGGTAGCCGATGTCCCTTGGCTAATCCACAGGAGGAGAACCAGAGGTGACAGGGAAAGCCTGTTAGTCATGACAGATGCCCTCCGGCGTGTTCCCGCCCCAGCCCCAGCCCCGGCCCCTCCCTGCCACCAGAGGACAACCCTCCACTCCATCCTACGTGGTCCCCTCCTCTGATCCAGGGCAGATGTGACCAGCACCCTCAGGGGCAGGGCTGGGCTGCAGGGCAGGAGACTCACGATCTGGCGCTGCCCCTGCCACCCGGGGTGCCCTGAGCGAGTCATGAGTCACCCTGGCCCCCTGAGGCTGTCCCCTCAAATGAAAAATGAAGGGGCTGCAGACACATGAGGGTCTGTTTTTAACGGGATCATACTATATGTATTACTTTGCAATTTGCTTTTTTCCTTTAATGATATGCCATGAATACCTCTTCAGGTCAATGCATATATACCTGACTCATTCTTTTGAGGGCTACATAATGTTCTCTGGACAGGGTACATCATTATTAATTCAACTATCTCCCTATTGGTGGACATTCGGGTTGTTCTGCCCCAGCATCTCAGTAAACAGCCTAACCTATGGCTCCTCATATTTATATGGTATAGGCTTCCAAAAGTAGAAAATTGAGTCAAAGATATGTGTATTTTAAATTTCAATAGCTCTGCCAGGCTATTTTCCACAAAGTTCGATCATTTGTACTCTGACCAACAATTAACGGGGGTGCCCATCTTCCCACATCTCTGCCTGCACTGGGCATGACGCTTCTGTGGACTTGTTTGCCAGTGAGCGGATGCAAAGACGCGTGCTTTACAAAGAGGGCCCCAAAGCCGAGAGGTGCCAGAGCAGACGGGCCTCTGGGCCGCTCTCCCCTCCTCGTCTGACCAGCTCTGAGGTAAAACAGCTTGAAAGGAGACGAAGGTCCCTCTCTAGGGTTCCCCAGAGGCTCTCTGGGTTTCCGCCCTCTCCTTCATTCCAGAACGTCCCTGACACTTCACAACACGCGAGCCCCTGTGCTGGGCACCGGCACAGCCCGCTCTGCCGCGGTCGCCACCCTCACGGATTTCCTGCTCGGGGACCTTAACCGCAGGCTGGCCGTGCTGACAGCTTTACCTGTTTTAATCCTTACGACAATGCGATGAATTAGGCGTGACAACCTCCAACCAACTAACCCAAAGTCACGACACTGAGGATGGGAGAGGCTAAGTAACCAGCCACGGCCGCAGCAGCAGGGGACAGAGTGCTGGGCTGCCGGATGTCACAGCCACTGTCCCCTGCTCTGTGCACGCCCCCCTGGCTAGGCCTCCCTGCCCTGTGAGCCGGGCTTTTCCCACAGGGGCGACAGCCAGGACCTTTCCAGCCAGGTTTATTCCTAAAGGCGCAGGTGGACAGGGCACGTTCTCCAGCCAGGGGTTCCTCTCCGAGGCCTCCAGGTGACAGTGGGCTGAGCAGAGGGGACAGGTTAGGGGAGGGGCGCCGGGGGCAGCAGGGAGAGCGTCTGTGAGCACTGACGGAGGAGGGGGAGTCGGGCTGAGAGGGCTGAGGGACAGGGGCTCCGGGTGGTCCCTCAGGAGTGCGCATTACGAAGCTGACAAGGCTGATGGGGCAGCTCCCAGCCAGCGCGGTCGCTGATCTGGACTCGGCGGCAATTCCACGATTAAATCCGACCAGAACTTTCCTGGGCCCAGGGCTGCCTGTGACAGTCCGCAGAGCACCCACGCTCCACTCTCGTGCTGTGATGGGCCAGAGACCCTGGGCGCACAGCCGCCCCTTTAGGGGTCTGTGCCCCCACTACAGGCTCCCCTGGTCTCAGCCCACAGGACGGTTCGACCGTCTCTACGCTCTGCCCCCGGGTCTCAGGAGGAGGACGCCACCCACCGCCCTGTGGCGGATCTGGAATGCTAAAGCTACTGTGGAAATCAGTCTGGCGGCTGGTTCTTCAGAAAGTGAAACATGGGGGTTACCATGTGAGCTGGCGATCCTACGCCTAGCACACGCCCAGCAGAAATGAAAACGTGTGTCCACAGAAAGACTCGCATCAGAGTGTTCGCGGCAGCATTTTCACACGAACCAAAGAGTGGAAGCAATCGCAGTAAACCACGGAGGGACGGATGGACAGAATGCGGTGCGCCCACACGATGGAGCGCTGCGCCGCCGTGAAAGGGAACAACGCCCGGACACACGCCGCGGCAGGGTGAACCCATCGCGGGAAGTGAACGAAGCCAGACACAGAAAGCCGCCTATTGCATGATTCCGCCTACATGAAACGTGCAGAATCCACCGTCCATAGAGACGGAAGGCAGATTGCGGGTTCCTGGGGATGGGGGTAGAGGAAATGGGAAATGATCACGAATGACTGTGGGGTTGCTTTTGGGATGATGAAAACGTTCTGGAATTAGACAGTGGCAATGGTTGCGTAATCTTATGAATATACTAAATACCACTGAATTGTACCCAAGAAAGGGAACCAGAAGTGAGTCCCCGTCTGGCCTGCCCAGCAGCCTGCCTGGCTGCGGCCGTTCCCACTGACCACAGACTGACACGCCGACTCCTCCGGAGCCTCCCACTGCAACGCATGGAGGGGATCTGCCCAGACGCCCCACGTTCTCCTCCGTAGGCATTAGGGGAAGGAGTCCGTGACATACCTCGTTCACGATGTGCTTGCTGATGAACTCGCTGACGGTCATGAGCGTCTGGGACCACTCCTCGTCTGTGTACCTGGAACCAACTTCCACTGGGACAGTGCGGCAGCCAGCGACCTCTTGGATGTACTGCAAACTGTCAGAGATAAATGCACTGTCACCGCTGACGCTTGTTGAGGATGGTGCTAAGCCAGTTTTACATGTGGCTCCCCTCGATCCTCATAAAACCTCATGGCGTAGAGACTAACGTCACCCCCACTTCACTGATGAGGAAACTCCGGCACAGAGAGGTGCGGTTACCTGCCCAAGGTCTACGGCTAATATAAAGCGCTGTGTAGCTTTGCAGATCAACCCAGTGTATCTGGTCTGCCGGCTGCTCTATTCCCTGCTGGCCAGGAGCCTTCTAACTTCTGTCTTTGCTTGTGTTGCTCCCGAGCTGGGAACCTTCTGTGAGCACACAGTGGGCAGTCCAGGGGTGGTGAAGCACGTGGGCTCCAAATTCCAGGCCTCATCGGTTACAGACCAGGGGACCTTCAGCAAGTCACTCAACCTCTCTGAGTACCTGTCCCATGGGAACCGGGGAGGGTAAAGTGCCACAGAACATGGCAAGTGCCTGTCCTGGCGTCTGGCCCGTAGTAAAGCGAAGGCTTGCTGTGGCGGCGGCGCCTGCAGTCGGAATCCCTCCACGCGCGAGCCCAGTGGCAACCTCTCCCTCCTCAAAACTACTACAGACCAAGGGCAACATACGTAACCTAAACATCTGCACCCCCATAATATGCTGAAATCAAAGAAAAAGAAAAAAAAAAAAACCAAAAACTACTACAGACCAGGCTGACTCATCTACCTCCCTCGAGATACACCTCCTCATTTCCAAAATGAGGCACAGCTGTGGCACCACGGCCACTTTCCAGCTGCCTGGTCACATCTGCCACCCTGAATCTAGCACAAGAGGCCATGAGAGGAAGGGGCTGTCCCTCGGGCTACTTCCCAGCTTAGCGGGGGGCCGGAGCAGGCCCACGGAATTCCTAAGACCCTGCAAAACTGCATAACAGACTTATCCTAAGAATGCCACTTAGGGACTCATTAAGAAACGGCTTAGGGCGAGCCAGCTGTAGAAGTTAGAATCTTACAACCTCTGGCATAAATTCGGATGCCTTGCTTTTAATTCTTGTTTAAGCCCCTGGCAACCAACCTTAAGGACCGGTAGCGCGGTGTCTGCAAGTTGCATTGACCTGGGGATGGTGGGAGGAGAAATTCGGGGAGCCCTGGGGACCTCACGGCCCTTCGGGGATCACCCACCTCCACCTCTTCATGCACGGCCAGTGGTCGGCCACACCTTCCAGGATCACAGGCCTCTGTGGGACCAAAAAATGTTTCTGGAAATGCTCGAGGGACGGAGAGTGAAGCCGGGGCACTGCTCTTTCTAACTTCAGATCTGGAATCGAACCGTGGTCACTCTTTGCTTTCTGTTTAAAATCAAAACAAAACAAAATGGCAACAACTTCACAAGGTCAAAATCAGAGGCATGCCATCAGGAGTTTGCTTCAGTGGTAGGACAGCTTAAGTGTCATCGACCACAGTGGACGGCATGTATCACCATTACTGCTACTACTACTATTTGCTCATTAGGAGCTCAAGGTGCTTTTCTTTACCATTTCCTTAAAAGTGTTTGTTCGATTATCAAAGTAATGTATTGCTTTCACAGAAATTCTGCCATTTCTTCCCATAGGCCTGGCCACCCTGTCTGAAGCAGCCTCCCTCACCTCGCACCACCTGAGAGAAGAAATTCTTCGACAGCCTCCCTGGGATGCAAGCTCCGGGAGGGCAGGCCCAGGGCTGTCCTGTGCCATATGCTCAGCCTGGCACATCGGGGCCACGGCTGGTGCTCAGAAAACCTGCTGGGTAAACACCCCTCTTACAGGTACAGGGAGGCCAAGACACTTGCCCGAGTTGCAGACAGGGGTGGCATCGTGGGACTTTGAACGCAGGCAGGCTGACTCTAGAGTCCCCGTTCCTACTAACACACCGCCCTACACCAAGAGGACCACCTTGGGCACGAAGCTGCCTCCGTATTCCCTTGGGACAGACTTGGTCGGGGAGGGCAGTATAATTCCTGAGTCAAAGGAAGCAGGTATTTGTCCTTCTATCTGTGTGTCTGTCCTGCCCTCTAAAAGTTCAACCAACGCACCATGCCCTTAGCCCCATGGTACCCTGGCAACAGCGGGTACCATATAAAACCTCATTTGCTAATTTAATAGCTAAAAATGGCTGGTTCACTGGTTTTGCTATTTGTATCTCTTTTATTTTTTAACCAGAGGTGAGGTTGAACATTTTCCTGAAGGTTTGTTTAACAGATCTATTTCCTTCTCGTGAATACTCTGTTCGTGTTCCTGGTCTCCCTCCTGGGACTCAAGTTTTTTTCCCTATTGATTTGTATAATTCCTTACATAATAGAGATATATTCACTCTCTGACAGATTTGCTGAAAATTTCTCTTCCTTGTTTGTACGATTTCCTTTAATTTTGGTTACATGCATGTCTGCTGAATGGCATCCATTTGCATTTTTCTTATATAAAAATAATACTCATTGTAGCAAATTCTGCAAACACAGGAAAACATTTAGAAAAAGGTCAAAAACACCCCATAATTCCACTACCCAGCATCTAGTACATTCTTAGTCTTTTCTTTCCGGAGGTCAGTACACTAACTGCCATTTTTTGGATGAGGAAACTGAGGCTCAAAGGAGGTTGGTGACTTGCCCAGGGGTGTTTTGAGTGAGGCCTGCGTGTCGGCCGTGGGAATGGAAGCTTCTGAGTAAATCGTGCTCTGGGCCTGGCGGGTGCTTGTGGACACATGCATCTACGTACCAGGAGGACACATGCGTGGACCTGAAGGGCAGGACAGAGTGGCCCTGTGGACAGAAGTCAGCTAGCTGTAGTGTCTCATCTAAACTCAGCAGCACAGAGACGGGGCAGCAGAAAGTATCACCTCGCCTGGGTGACACTTCAACAAGCAGACCAAGAAAAAGCTGAAAGAAATGGCTGGCTGTGGCTCTCGCCCACACAATCCCTTTAGGCTGTTTCTCTCAGGAACCACAAAGCTTCCCCCTCCCTCTCTTCTGAAAGGGCATGGCTTTTGCAGAAACTGAAAAAAAGCCTTTTTTCCTTTTTACAAAACGGATGGAGTTGCTCCATTTCTAAAATCAATGGAGATGCTATTTTCAGCCAGAGGGGTTGCATGCCATGCGGCCTCGCCCCAGGGGAGCGCTGACTCGATGTTTCGGGTTGTCGGTGTGCTCGGGACCAAGCTCACCCAGATACCTTTGTGCTGGGCTGCTCCGGGCTTGAGCTGTGGGCAGCCCTTTTCCCAGAGTGGTGTGTCTGGAGGATGGCAGCGACTTTGAGGAGGATGTCCCCAAAGATGGCTGCCCCCATCAGCAGGCCCATGTCACAGACCCTCAGGGCTGCAGCCACAGTGGCAGCATCCCCAGGCACCTGGCAGAGACACAGGGCTTTGAGAAGGCAGCCGAAGGCATAGACCCGTCGCCAGTCTTTGTCCACGTCCCGCCACGCCCCCGTGTTGAGCTTCTCCCACGAGTAGTCCAGGATCGCCTCGCTCCTCTGCAGACACTCGTCCCGGCTGCCCTCGTAGAAGAGCTCGGTGGCTTGCTGCAGCAACGTCACTACACTCCTCTCCACTTTCTCGCTGAGGTCCAGCTTCAGTTCTTCTTTAGTGTCCGGCAGGAGTGCCCTGAGGGCCTCCCAGAGGGCACCTACTCCTGCCAGGGGGTCTCCAGGATGGTGGGTGGCTTCACCCATCTGGCCCACTGCCAGCTCGGCCAGACGAGTGCCTGGAGGGGGAAGAAAAAGAGTGAGAGACCAGGCCCAGACCCCACATCTCATCTGTAACAGCGTTTCAACAGTGGTCTTCTCTGCCAGGCAGAGGCTCTGCGAGGGCAGGGCCCGCATCTGTCTGGGGTCACCGCTGTTATCTTCAGGGCCTGGCACAATACCTGGCACTCAGTGAGCACTGGATGAATGTTTCTTCAGAGAGAAACACCACGTATTGTCCTTCTCTGGAATGCCTCCGACACTCCTCCTATGCTTGGCAAACTCCTACCCAACCTTTAAGGCCCATCTTAAATGATCCCCTATGTGAAATAGGCCAAGACTCTCAGATCATGTTTTGTGTTCCCACAGCCCTTGAGCTTCGTTTACAGCACTTGTCACCATGTACTGCAAATACCCACTTACACGTGTGTCTCTCTAACACCAGACTGTGAGCTCCTTCAGGGCAAGAACAGCTCTTATTTTTCTGTTTCCCTAGAGCCTAAAAGCAGAGTCTGGCTTATACTAAGCACTCAATAAAGGTATTGAAGGAATGCTACCTTAACTTCCCAGGAAGAAACCTGGAAATACATAAAACCTACACGAAAAGGGACAATGTCATAGTTGGTGGCCTGGGTATCATATATGGATGGCGGCCATTCCTGAGGAATAAATACTAAGACGTGAATGGGCTCTACTGCTCACAAACAGTTATGATGATCTATTTGTGCTACTCTGATCTAGGTATTATCCTAACAGTGCTTACATCCCTTGTGTCATTTGGTGCTAAGAGACAGGGATGATCATACTTTTCCAGAGAATGTTCTACGCTAGAGGTCAGCAAACTTTTTCTGGAAAAGGCCAGATATTAAATATTTTAGGCTTTGCAGGCCATATAGTCACTGTCACTACTACTTTGCCATTGTAGCGTGAAAACAGCCATACACTGTGTGTAAACAAATGGGCATGGCTGTGTTCCAATAAAACTTTATTTACAAAAACAGATGGTGGGCCACATGTAGTTTGCCAACTCCTGCTCTACGTTCACCGAAATCTTTGTCTTCTTCCTGGGTACACAGTTAGACTACATTTCCCAGTCTCACTTGCTAGGAGTTAGGCCTTGTTTACTGTTTGCTGTAGCAATTGAATATTTCCTCTGTGTTTTAGCCTCCTCTGGTGTCTTTGGGTTTGCCTGGAGACTTCTTCTTAAATAAGGTCAATGTGACCATGCCAAGTTCTAGCTCATGCAGATGGCAGTGATGTCTGCCACTTCCAGGCCTGGCTGATAAACACCTCCCACCTCCTACATGATCTTCCACTCACTTCCCTACCCACTGGCTGGAAGTGAGCGACTCTGAGGCTCTAGGGGACAACAGAGCCACAAGATGGAAGGACGTTGCTACTTGGGGAAGAGCTGCCTGAAAAGGCCACCCAACCAGGAATACCCATGCTGGTATGCTTCCCGAGCAAAAAATAAACTTGTATTGTGTTTAGCTACCAAGTGTCGGTGATGCTCATTATAGCAGTTAGCCTGTCCTAATACAGTAACTTCTATTATTATTTCTAATAATAGGCCCCCACAGATGTCCACATCCTAATCCCCAGAACCTGCGAGTATGTTACCTGACATGTCCAAAGGGACTTTGCAGATGTTATTGAGGACCCTGAGACGGGAAGACTATCCTGGGGTCTCTGCGTATGCGGACATCGCATGACAACCTTCCAGAGACAGGAGCTTCAGGACAGCTATATGAGTTTGTTTTCAAAATGGCTTTTCAAATTGCCTCTGTACGAGCCACGTTAAATGGCCTCCCAAAAGGCCTCACTAAGCTCCTCCGAGGCCTTGCGTTTGCAGCATGAGGAAATGTTCCACGGTGAAGTGGCATGGCGGGCCCCCATCGGTCCTCCAGCCTGGTTCCACAGGCCTCCCTGAATCTCTCATGATTTGCCCTTTTAAATAGTCACCACATCAGCCTTCAGGAGAGGCGCCGATTCTAGCTTATGAAACATCTTCCAAAGTGGCATTGTGACCCATTTTAAAAACTGGCCTCCCTGTAGATTGGGGCTTGTCTGAGGCCGGGTGAAACTGGATTTTGTCTTAGCTTTACAAACCAGTTTTCCACAGTTTCTTTACACTACCATGGAAGTGTTCCGTTTGTTGTACCCGTATCCCTCCAGGGAGCAGCCTCATGTTGGCTCCTATCAGCCACATGCAATGGCCTCACAGGAGAATGAGCCTTAGTCTGGCTGGGCGAAACACTTCCTTGCTGGCTGGGTGAAACAATCCTCCAGGGGTGCTGGCCTCACGTGGGCTGCGAGTACCAACTTTCACACGACCGGCCATCCGAGATGGCCTTCCTGGCAAGTTCAAGTGCAGACTACACGAAACTGCCTTTAATGACTGGCTTTACAAATCAGCCTTCCAGCACCCCCACGAACTGGTCTGAGAAAAAGGCTTCTTGATAGTCGTATCAAGCAGTTTTCCGGAGGAAGAGACCAGCCTGGGTGGCCTTATGGCCTTGCTTTATTGATTGACTTCACAGAACTCCTCAATGAATTGCCTTTTATAAAAGGTTATATTAAACAAACAGTCTTCCAGAGGAGGCAGTCAAAAATAAGATGTGTGATTTGCCAGTTTTTTGCAAGAGGAAAAAAAAAAAAGGAATAAGATGTGTGACAGTCTTCCACAGTGGCACCACAGACTGGCTTTTAAATTGGTCTCCCAGAGCCTCACATAAAAGGGTTTGTTCTAAGTTATAAAAACAGCCTTCTAGCAGTCAGGTGTAGGCGTGTTAACTATGTATCATCTAAACCAGGATGCTATAATATGAACTAATATTTGTGCCTGGAAAAGTAAAAAATTGAGGCTATTCCAGGCAAACTGACACCTACACACAGGCCACGTGAAAAAGCCCAAGTGACCTTGTGTGTTCACTTTACAAGCTGGTCTCCCAGGACTCAACAGGTGTTGGCCTCTTGTTCGTCACAGGCTTTTTTTTTTGAAGGGGGTGAGGGGTGTCAGGTATAGAAACAGCCCGAGTGGTCTTGTGTCCTGGCTTTGCAAACTGGCCTTCCAGAGTGCCACATGCACTAGTCTCATGACACGGGCCATCAGGGGAAGATCAGGTATAGGATGCATAAAACAGCTTTTCTCAGTGGACTTAATTCAGCCCCAAAAAGCTCCTTACATAATAGCTTCTCTGTTGGTATATGAAATGATCTTGGAAATGTGTTCAGATAAAGGTTGTACCAGAGGTACAGCTAACCTCCAGGTGGGTTCTGCCTTGGCTTTATAAATGGGCCTAAGATAAGCCTTATAAAAGGCTTCCTGTTGGTCATATTAAACACAAAGGAGCCAATGTAGGCTGCATAAAACAGCCTGAATAGACTCAGGTCTGGACTTTGCAAATTCACCACCCAGAGTTCACCACGCAAACTGGCCTTCGATTTGCTGTTAGTAAACAGCCAAAGTGGGTTCCTGGTGGCTATAATATATCGCCTTCTAGGAAGCCACCCATTGTCAGCCCAGAATTCTCTTAAATTGTTTTTAAACATCAGCGCCTCTGAAGCACCTCCCTGGGTAGTGCTTAAGCTGGCTGGGGAAACGGCCTCTCCAAGAGGCTCACCATGGTTCACAGAGGCTCTCAGGCTGGCCACTGAGAGCGCCATGCTGGTCATGAGGGAACCTTCCAGAGGGGATTCCAGATGGATCAGTCTGGATCTGGCCTCTGGGCACAGGCTGCCTACGGTTTTGTAATTTCTTCAATTTCACTGTGCAAACTCAAGAGCTTCGCAAAACTTCAGAGAGATTTCGAACGTTTCCCAGAAAGCTTTATTCAGCAGCACAAGGGTCCCTCCTGGCTCTCTAAGGGCCATACAGTCAGTCTCCGGTCTGGGCCACCGATGTGGCCCATCACCTGCCCACATCCTGACCCTGGACTTCCATTCAACCTTTCTAAGCATGGTGACCCACCTCTGCCGGGAAACGCGACACCGAAGCTCAGCGTTAACTCACATCGAGTTACAAATACCCTTCCTTCGGGCGGCCCCACCGGTCCCCGCGCACCCTACGCCAGCCTTCCGCCAAGGCCTCGAACCCTTTCCCTCCCCGCGCCTTCCGGGGCTGCGTTTCTCGCGGCTCACATTGGGGACCCGGCCGGCTTCATAGCTGCAGGCCGACAACAAAGGCCACGCAGCCCGGCAGCAACGGCTAGTCATCAACGGTCGACACAAACACAGCAGGAACATCAAAATCACGGAAGCGCACTAGAATAGCACCCGCACGACACCTAAAATTGCGTTAAGCGGACAACAGGGTGCGGACCGGCCTCACGCATGCGCAAAACGACTGCCACGGAAGAGCACTGCGCACGCGCAGGACCTTCCTCTATCAAGTGGCGCCGCAGAAGGGAGAGGCCCAAGTTGCGTTCTCAAGGCGCATGCGCTGGCTTGAGCCGTCCCGGGGCTTTCCGAGGCGCACGCGCGAGATTGTCTTTTTTCTCACTTCGCCTCTTATCGTGGCGCGTGCGCCGTCCTTCCCTCCCAGCCCGGTCCTTCCACTCGAGCTGCTCAAACTGACCTCTCGCGTTCGGACAGTGTCAGGTCGCTTCAGGGCTGGCGACGACTCGTTGCGTTTGGTCCGAGCACTCTGCTTCTCCGTTCTGAAGAGTCAGGCTAGCACAAGGAGTATCGATCTCTCAGCGCTCGTCTGATCGCGTGCCCGGAGGAGCGCCGAGTGACTGATGCAGTGGCCCCGCCCCCACTCCATTTGAAAGGTGGGAGGGTGGTGGCGACCCAGGGGCTGGCCTGTTCCCCCCGTGTCTTGTGCCAGCCCGTGACGTGCAGAGCAGTTTCATATCCACCATTTAACCTAATCCCTGCAACTACGATTATTAGTTTTCCCTATTTTACAGATGTTAGGTCCGGAGCTGAGAGGGAGACACACAGGAAGCCTCATGTGTAGCAAAGTGCTGTTGATTTTGAGCATCTGGGTGCAGATGGGTGGAGGCCGAAAAAGGCTCCATAAGAGAAAAGGGGAGAGTCTTGGGTTTTATAGAGGGTTTTTCTGGGGGGAGTGAATAAATTATTTGCAAACAACCGGGAGGGATAAGGAAAGTAAGTTCCTCTCTTGCATTCCATTCCTTTATCTCCCTAGGGGTCTGGCAAAGGCTACCTGCCTAATACACCCCACACCCCTAGGAAGGGGAGAGCGGTGGGTTTTATAGGAGGTCTGGATGGAAGTTTGGGGAGGGTGAATTCTTTAAGCCTAACAACAGAGAAGTAAACTGAGGCTCGGTGAAATACAGTGGCCACCTACTTGTACGTTTGGAAAGTCAACAGATCCAGAATTTGGACCCACAAGCAAGTGCGGCATCCAGGGCCATTCGAGTGAGAAGGACCTGGGTTGCAGTGCGGAGTGGCAGGCAAGTGGCCAGGGGGCTCGCTTTGGCCACCTCCACCTTGATCTTGAGAGGTGCAGGGCTCAGTGGGACCTCTGTGTTTTGCGCACACTTTCCCTGTGGTGTTGACGTACGCAGGGCTTTTGCAGCATTGAACAGCAGCAAGAGAAAGTTATGCTCATACTGGGTTTGGAGTCCTAGTAGGAAACTGGCTTGCTCAAGGCTGGTTTAATAAATTGGTGGATTCTAGTTAATGTGTTAAAGAACTTTAAAAATATTAAAATCGTAGCTAACTATTATAATGATCATGATCAGCCCCGGTTGAGGGAGGGAGGAAGTAAAGCACAGAAAGGTCTCATAACCCCAGGCTCATAGAGGATGCTGGTGTTTCAACACAGCGGTCACAGGTGCTGAGTCTACATGCTTATGTGCCACACTAGGTTCTCTCCCTTGAGTGGTGACAATGTTGAATTTTACCTGAACTCTGTGCCCCTCGAAAACAGTGAAGGTAAAAGAAATTCTTCATACCCTTTTGTGTCCCGGAAAACAGCTCATTGCAAAGCACCACCCTCCCATGTAGGACTGAGATAAGACTTAGGATGCTTTGCTTGTTTACCTAAGACAAAACTAGACAGGGACCTCCAAATTCCCATTCTTTGTCACATAAGTGATTAGCTGAACCGCTTGTCCTATAAGCACACCCCAAGGACTATTAGGCTTTATGCCTTGGCTAGCGAAAGGGAAGCCATTTTTCTTCCAGTCTCTTTCTGGCTTATTCGGTCTTAAAAGTTTATAATTAATCTGCTGCTTGCTAACACAGCTTCCGGGCACAAGATTAGAAAGTGATTTTGAGGAAAAACAGATCAGGAGTCCAGAATAGGCCAACCTCAGACTGCTGATAACAAGATCCACCAGACACCCATTGTTTGCCGATAACCATCATAAAGCTTGTTTTCTGCCACCAGTCCCTGTACCCCTTCCCTTTGTAAGTTGCTTGGTAAGCAAAGGAGTTGAGATGGCCTTTGAGGCAGTAATTGGCCATCTCTTCAGACTGCCCGCTCTTGAATAAACCACTTTACCAACACGGCCTCTCCGCTTGTGTTTGGTTCTCCTGTGGCAGCTGAACCTGAGTTTGGCAATAGTCGCACTAATCCATTGTTATAAAATTCTTGTTAACCAAACTTTGGTTAAGATTTTCTCCTTCTTCCAGGCCCCTGAACTTTGGCCCAACCTTAGCCTGAGCCAGCAGACAGCCTCCGCTGAGAACAGGCCTCTGGGTAAGAAACTCTCTGATCTACTATCTGTCATGCCACCCTTTCCTCCCACTTCCTGGTTCTTTCTAGCCTGTCTTCCCTAAAGAGAAAAGCTTTTTTTGTCTAACCCTATGGCCACAGAATTCTCTCTGTTGCAATAGTCCCTTTCCCCCCTTGCAATCATCCTTTCAAATAAAAGTCTCTTCACTAAATCTGAATTTGACTTTTGACAATGGATGGGCTGTTGCTATTCAGAGACTACAGCAGGGTGAACACCGGACCCCAGCTTGCCCAGACAGGCCCCATAGCAAGGGCGGAAGGAGATTCGAACCCAGGACCCCCTGAGTCCAGAAGCCCTTTCCCACAACGAGCAGGAACGGGGCTCTGTCTGCTGGCAGTGTGTATGGAGTGCTGCCAGCTAGGCAGAGACAAACAACCCTTTTGCCAGCTTGTTTTTGTTTTCAAAACTGGCTTGTTGTGATGGATTACAGGCACAGATGAAATGTTTTCTTAAAAGAAAAAAACCACAACTTTTCACCACGGGGTTTCACTTCCTGTCATCTCTTTGCCAACCTCCTCTCCTCCATTCCTGGCAGCCTTGGAATTGGCCATTAAGCTGACAGACCCATTTGAGTGCTGCAAAAGGCATTGAAGAAAAAGAGGCATCATTTATGCCCATATTTGTGATTTTTCTCCATTTGATCAGATGCCTGTAATTTAAATATACCCAAGTGTGCTGGGAACATTTGTGGCTTAATTATCAAATTTATTTCAAATGTATACATACAAACAAAACTCCAAACTTGAAAACAACATTTAGCTTGGCCATGAAAGAGACGTTTAATTTACTTCAATTGCTTAGAGCTAGACGAGAAAACCTCCCACATCCTGGCTCTTCGACGGATCCCACCTGGATCTTCCTGGCGGAGGGCTGCTTGCTCAAGTATTCTGTGCTTTCACGTCACTTCAGCGTGACCTTTACTGCCTCGGCAAGGAGCATGTGAGCCTGAAATGACCTCATGGTCCCATTTAGACTGGGAACAAAATAATACAAGGTGTTTTATCAAGTGGGTTTCTTTGGGGTGCAAGCAAGACGCCCCTGACATAAAGTCAGGCTGACTGGGATACTTTCTCTCTGAGCCTCAGTGTCCTCCTCTGTGAAGTGGGTATGATAACCCGCCTCCCAAGGGGGTAGCAAGGATTCGATAAGGCAGCTGAACATCTCAAGCTGTCCTCCCTGTTCTCCTCTGTCCCAGAAGCCATTCGTTCTAACCTCCCATTCACCTGCTGGTAAGGGCACAGGTCACCCCTCCTGTACTTGTGTCCAAGGACCCCTGCGGACAGTGTGGAACTTCTTTAAAATACAGGTTCTTAGATGCCTCCTCTGGAGATTTCGATTCTGTAATTCTGGAGTTGGGTCAGGGATTCTGCATTTTCATTAGCTTTCCAGACAACTCAGAGGTAGCTGACAGCCACAGTTTGAGAAACGCAGCCACGGGGCTCACAGACGCTTGGAGAGGTGGAGTTAGGGGTGGTAGAGGGTTCTGGAAGCTGTATAAAGCTGACTTGAGGGTCAGGCCCAGAGCCTCATGGCCAGGGCTGAGTCCTCTCTCCTGCTGTTGCAAGACCCTTTTCCTTCAGTACTTCGTGTTCTCACACAGATGACCCTGGCCGTGGCCAGCGTAAAGCCCCTGGTCAAGACAGGTTCAAGCTTCAGCTCCCTTATAGACTAAACGCTACAACTCTCCCTCCAGCGCGCCCCGGGAGATATTCTCTGAAGCCCTTGAAAGACAAAGGATCTTGCTTGATTATACACTCGCGCCCCCATGCATAATAGGACCTGTCACTCTTTGCTCATTCATCCGACAAATATTTGTCAAACACGGTGCTTGGCATGCTTGGTCATTGTTAAGTGACCAAAAAGGTGAATGTTTTCCTTTTTCTCATTTATTGATTCATTTGTGCTGCAAATATTTATTGAGCATAATTCCATACCAGGCATTGGGCTGTTTAGATCAGTTATCTACTACCACAAATAATATCGCGTAGCCAACCATTCCCAAACTCAACAGTTTAAAACAAAAAGTCTACACATCAGCTGGGTGAGTTGCTTGTCTGGGCAGGGCTCAGCTGATCTTGGTGGGACTTGCTCATGTGCAGGTGGCCTCATTCAGACGACTCGTGGTCAGCTAATTGTTGGCTTGGGCAGTGAGCCCACTGGACTACCCCTCAGTTATCAGCCGGCAGGCCAGCCTGGGCTTGTTCACGTGACAGTGGAAGGATTCCAAGAAGGGGCCCAGGAGCTGCAAGCCTCTTAACCTGTAAGCAGCACAGATCACTTCTATGTGAAGTCACATTCTGTTGGCCAAAGCAAGTCACAAGGCGAGTCAGATTCCAAAGGTAAGGAAAGAGAATCCACTTTTGGTAGGAGGGACGCCCACATTCTAGTGGTGGGAAACAGGAAATTAGAAGTTTTATATGCATATATATAATGTTACAAATGAAGCAGGAGAAGGAGAACAATGGTGCCCTGTGTGCGTGGGGTGGGGGCTCCTGTTTTGCTCGCGATGCTCACACCCTGTCTGATAAGCGACACCTGAACCACAACCTGGAGGAAGTGAGAGGCAGCCCTGCAGTCGTCGGCTGGAAGAGCGTTCCAGGCAGAGGGAACAGCAGTGTGCTGGGCATTTAAAGGAGGGGCGTGGAGGCTCCGGTGGTTGGAGCAGAGTTGGGGAGGGGGAGTCGACGAGGCCAGAGAGGTAATGGGGTGAATTGTGTAGGGCTTTGCTGGCTGTCGTTAGGACTCTGGCTTTTGCTGTGGGTAAAGTGGGGAACCCCTGGGGAGTGTTGGGCAGAAGAGTGACGTGATCTGAGTCGGGTTCCTGGAGCTCGCAGTCTAGAGGGGAAGCCAGACTGTTAAGGATGTGATAAGTGGCAATAACTGTGAGGCGTGTCATGGTGGGTGACTTAC